TTGGAATTGTGATCATTAACTCATTATTCCATTGCATGCAACTGTGTGTCACAAGGTGGCCATACACTGTACAACCATCGCAAGACCTTAGTCTTGCGATGGTTGTAAAGTGATTAAAAAAACGTACGATCTGCAAATCTTGGACAGGCAGATCGTACTCTCGATCATCGCAAGCCCGCCCCCCTGAGGGGCGGGCTTCCGATGACCGCAATGCTGAACGGGCAGTGTGCGCGTACGCATCGTTCAAACCAGCCGAAAATCGTACGATTCTCGGCTGGTTTTCTAACATGCTCCTTAGACAAAAGATGTGCGGCCGTACAGTAGAAACGGTTGCACGTCTTCGTTCACACTGTTCGATTCTCGTACGATCGCGGGATTTCCCGCGATTCTCGTACGAGAATCGAGCAGTGCATGGGCACCTTAACTCCTGCCGAAGTGACGTTGTGTTGAACTGTGTGGCATATCTTCCTAAGCACTAATACTAACGGTACTGTGTATGCTAAACATGACTTAGAAGGTCTGCAGAACATAGTTCACCTTAACCTTGTGTGGGGTTATCAAAGAAACGCATGTTGTATTCACCTGCTCTCTCCCTATAATAGAGAGTAAACCTAAAGATAGGCCAAAAGTGACGGGGGATGATGTGCCTTGCGATCCCGTGCGGGCGATCGCATTGCAGCTGGAGGGCGTGGCTACGGTGCCATGCACTTTAATGGCCTGGCACGCCCCCTCTAGCCCGGCAAAAAAGTGAGCCGGCTGCAATGAGGGCAGTGCGTTCTGCCCAGAATCGGACCGGAGCGCACTGCTAATGGTATGAACTAACCCTAAGCCCTGCGTCCAGTAGACATGTGCGATTCGTTTTGGAAAAATTGGTTTTCCGGACGAAATTCGTTAGCGGTCGTCTGTACGCATTTTCGTTTGTGGACGAATTTTCATTGCAGCAAAGTGACAATAAAAAAAAAAATTAATGTCACTTTGCTGCAATGAAACAAACGATACGAACATGAAACGGAAATGAACATTCGTACAGACTACTGCTAACGAATTTCGTCCGAATCGCAAAAAACGAAATAACGCAAAATCCGAATCAAAACAAGATGAAACTAAACAATTTTTTTGCCGATGCACATGTCTAGTGTCCAGAGCGTCACGAAGCCCTGCGTCCAGTGGGTGACGAAGCTTTGCATCCAGCGGGTCACGAAGCCCTGCGTCCAGTGGGTGACGAAGCTCTGCATCCAGCGGGTCACGAAGCCCTGCGCCCAGGGATGTAATGGATGTGGGGGGGGGACATTAGAGTGTAAGCTCCTCTGTACAGAGACTGATGTGACTGGCGCGGGGGACATTAGAGTGTAAGCTCCTCTGTACAGCATTGCGGTATATATATGTCAGAGCTATATATATGTATAATAATAACAGTGTGACTGGCTCAGCGTGGCGGCGGTGCGCGGGGGCACAGGGACGTAGGATTCTGTTGGGGCCCGGCCTAAAGCCGTGTAAGGGGCCCCGAAATTTCTGAAGGCTGCCCTGAGTATAGCATTTGCTTTACCTAAGCCTGCTTCCAAGGAAAAATGTTTTCCCGATAGTGTCTCAGTTGTCATAGTTATGGGAGTCATTCATGTTGCTTAATCCCTCTACTGGAATCCTGTGACCAGTGCATTGCCACACAGTGCGTGCACTTCTGCTTCGAAGAATTGTTTATAAGGGCAGGTTCACACCACTTTCCGGACCAGATCTGGAACGCAGTGCATTGCGTTTTGACGCGTTTTTACCACGTTTGGATTTTTTTATAGCTTAAAATGGTTTTACAGTTGCGTTCCAGTGTGTTTTTGATGCGTTCCAGTGCATTCCAGACCAGACAAAATAAGCAGTATTTTTCTGGTCTGGTCTGGAACGCACTGCACTGGTGTGAACAGAGGCCAGAAATAGCATAGGGATACATTAGGATGCATTTTGGGTCCGGAAACCAATCTGGTCTGGCCTGGAGATGATCAAGACGTGGTGTAAATGAGCCCTTAAAGTGAATCAGTACCAAGTGAAGTGCAGACTGTCGTTGTTGACTTTAAGCGTGCAAGCTCCAGCACTGTCTTCCTTTCCATAGCTTTATTCCTAGCAATTTACTGGCCTACTCATAGATATGCCATGGTCCTTGTACCCAAGGTCACTGGTTGCCTGGAGCTGAGTGGGATGCAGACCAAAGTGTCCCAAGTTGCGAAGGAGCTGGGTGGGGAGATGCAACCTTCTGTTGCTCTACATGCGTGCACAAGCCCCCCCAGCCTCAGACGGCAAAAATGCTAGGGACACCACTGCATCCAGCATTTGGGGCCCCCGAAGAGATCAAATAAAGGTACCACTTAATACAGGGCTGAAACATGCTCAGTACTCAAGGGTACTAAAAGGTTTACTTTAAAGTAGTATTAAACTCTGAAATGTTTTTTTCCAGTAATGAATCCAGATCAAACAAATTTACATTGCCCAGAAAAGTATTTTTTTAATATGTTTGTCTAAGCACTTACAGTCATCATGTTTCTGAACAGCAAGTCTCTCAGCTCAGCTTCCCCGAACTTCCTGTCCAGTAGAAGATCACAACGGACAGCACAATCTCCAACAACTGTTCATCTACTAGCTGGAAGGAGGGAGGAAGGGAGTAGCTTGAGTTGCTGGGTCTGTCTGTTTGTAGAGACATACACAGCTTACTAACACACAGCTTACTAGCACACACAAGGGTGACTCCACTCTACTTGAGAAAGGAGGCACTCTGAAGCACGTGACACTACACTGCATACGAAGCCATGCAGAGAAAAGCAAAGCTATCAGGCATGGAGCTTCACATGCAGTGTGTGAGCTGAGTGCAGCCAAATGAAATACTGCATCTTCAGCCAAACGGCTTGCGCATAACAACCGAATGGACTTCACATCATGATGCGCGAGTTTACTTGCGCAAGCTGATTGGCTGAGGATGAAATTTTTCATCTTGGCACGCTCAGCTATGCGAGCTCTCGCAAGCTGATATGCCGGAGTGAAAATGACATGACACACTGCATGCGAAGGCAGCGCGCCACTGCTCCATGTTGCTTTGAGTGCAGTGTGTCACAGCTAGGGTTTGCCACCTGTCCCGGATTCAACTGGACTGTCCGGTTTTGAGTCCTGTATGAGTTGTTTCAAGGTTTCAGGCCAGCTGAAACCCCGACACAGCACATACAGGACTCAAAACCGGACAGTCCAGTTGAATCCGGGACAGGGGGGAACCCTCGTCACAGCCTTAAC